ATGCGATGCTCTATGGAAGGGTGCAAACTATTACTCTGGAGGAGGTTCAATCTCTGATTAGAGCCAAAGAACTTCAGAGGAAGCATGACAGGGACAAGGAAGTCAACGGAGACAGTCTTATTGTCAGAGGAAGATCGGACAAGAAAGCTTCAAGAAATGGTCAGTACAGATCAAGGTCAAGCAAGGATGGCGGGAATCAGTCATCAAGGGGATCTTTCAAGTGCTATCATTGTCACAAGGACGGTCATTTCAAGAGAAACTGCCCAGACAGGAAGACTAAGTACCAAGAAGAGCCAGAAGAATCAGGAGAAGCAAGCGTAGCCTCCGATGACTACGATTCTGCTGAGGCCCTGGTGATCACAGAATCTAAATCTAATAAGGAGTGGATCCTCGACTCAGGGTGTTCTTTCCACATGTGTCCTCACAAAGATTGGTTCGAGACACTGCAACAGTAAAATGATGGGTCAGTTCTACTGGGAGACAATAAAGCTCACATGGTTGTTGGAAGTGGATTAATCAGGATAAGGATGTTTGATGGAGTTGAACGAGTACTGAAAAATGTCAGGTACGTACCAGAGCTCAAAAGAAATCTGATTTCTTTAGGTACACTGGAGTCAAGCGGATGTTCATTCAAGGCAGAGAATGACTGCATCAGAGTAACCAAAGGCCCTCGTGTCGTCATACAAGGAGTCAGGAAAAAGGGGTTGTACTCTCTTATCGGAAGAACCGTGATTGCTAAGTCCATGTACTGTTTGGACTTAATAGACTCAAGCAAGGGCTGAGGGCCCCTCAGGGGCCAGGTGGAGGGAATCTTTACTTCGAAGCTTCTCAATTGAGGGTCAAGGTGGAGAATTGTTATTTTGACCCCCAATTAATGAACTAAGGTAAAAGGGCACTTTTGTAATGTGGTACCGCTCACCTACCACATCTCACCTACCGTTCACCTACCGCTCACCTACCGCTCACCTACCTCCCACCAACCACTCTCTTGCTTCTATAAATAGAGAGGGTGTGAGGCCTAGGAGAGCAAGGGAATAGATCTTAAGGGTGTGAGACTTAGAAGAGAAAAGGGAAGAGGTCTTTAGCTACCACGAAGGAGGAGAGAATAGCTAGAGAGCTAGAGAGGAGGAGAGCATCTTGAGGCCTTGTATCAAGGTGTCGCTTGAGAGGGAGGTCATAGAAGGAAGATGAGGGCTCATCTCTATGTATAAGCTATGTATTCTCCATTTCTTTTGCCTTAGTAAAATATTTGATTGATTCCCTCCCGTGGACGTAGATCCAGTTGGATCGAACCACGTAAACGATCTGTGTTTGCTTGTGTTCTTTTTCGTCTCATTTCTATGCCAGGAAGTACATATCTCACAACAAATTTTTTTTTTTTTTTTTTTTATGGTGAAAAGTCTAAAAATGTTTTACACAAATTATCCTATCACTTAAAAAGTGATCATTTTACATATGTGATATTATAAAAGCATGTGATTGAGATAGGAGCAATGATAAAATCATTTGTTGCTTTCTCTACTGCGATTTTCATTGCACCTCCATGCACAAGAGTACGTGTATAATTAATTAAGAGAAAATTTTAATTAAACAATAATTAAATTAATTAGCTAGATTAATATAAATTATTACCATATAATTAGCATATAGAATGTAGAGGGAAGTCATTCGTAACAGAAGTGTGGAGTTCATGCCACAGTGGTTTGGTTCTTTCTGAACATTCATGTTGCGGTAATTAATTAACTATTTATTATACATTAGCTTATATATTACATCATTCACCTTGTTAATAATCATACTATTACATTTAAATATATTTTTAGCTTCCAATCATTTTCGGATATGCATTTGGAGTAGCTCAAATGTTGCTATACATCATCTACAAACAGGCTAAGTTTCCTGAGAACTTGGAATTGGAACAAAATATGCATATGGAAAAGATTAGTTCGGTCATGATTATTGTCGTCAGTTATGCAACTGTCGAATTAACGATCATTGACGAGGTAGAAAAGGGAAAGGAGATAAAAAAAAGTATATAATCAGGGTGGAAATGATATTGAAATGAGTCCAATTTGAAATTTTTAAAGTGTTTATCGTAGGAGAACGTGATGTTAGGGTTTGAATTTATTTAAATCAGTTTCCGTTTGCTTGCTTTAATAATGTGATTGTTAGGGAGGAGGTTTGTGATGATAAGAATAAGATCCTATCCATATTGTAAAATTGTATTGTGTGTCTTTAAGAGTTTTCATCCTTCATTAATCATGGAAATGTATTTCATATATATATAGCAATGTAAGCAAAGACATAACAAAAGCATGCATCAAGGAAAAAGGGGGTAAGGCAAATTCAAGAAAGAAAATTCCAAACATATTAAAATTATTCCATCAAAGTGGAACAAATTTAACAAGAATATCATCCCCAAAAAAGTAGAAAAGCCGTGTAAACGAGTCGAGCTTATAAGCCAAGTCAGGCGAAGGAAGAAGATGAATGAGTTCGAGAAACAACAAAGGAAGTCAGAGGGCAGAAGGAAAATATTATTCCACCACACTTGAGTTTATTACTGGTAACATATTTATACAAAGAAGCTATAAAGAATGTGGTACAACGGAATATAGAATGATGTAAGTTGTTTTGAACCCTTGTCTTCTTCATCATGCCCCCTCAAACTAATGATGTTGGCAGTAAAGATTGTTAGTTTGCCTCTAAGGTTGTGAAACCAAGAATTGGAGAGAGCCTTGGTGAATATATTTGTCGTTTATACTTCAAAAGGTAGATGTAAAAGTACAATTTCATTTGATTTGAGGTGGTACTAGATAAAGTGATAATGGATCTCAATATGCTTAGTGCGCACATGGAAGATTAGATTTTGAACAATTGCCACAATTGGCATATTATCACAATAAATGATGGTTGAACCTTGAAGAGCAATAGAGAGATTTTGTGACAGTCGTCTCAACCAAATAATTTCAGTGAAATTAAATGATATGGCTATGTATTCGACATTGGTGGATGATCTCGCAACAATTAGTTGTTTCTTAAAATTCCACGATAGTAGGTTTGAACCAAGAAAGAAGCAATATCCTGTTATGGACTTCTGATCATTAGGATCACTATCCTAGCTAGCATCGGCATAAGCATGAAGTACAAGAGGCCTGGGTTGAAGAGGTACACTTAGTGATAATGTGCCTTTGATGTAGCGAAGAAGATGTTTAAGGTTTTAGTAATGTAAATGAAGAGGTTGTTGGAGATGTTGAGACAAGGTGTTGACCACAAATTCTATATCCAACCGGGTTTGAGTGAGATAATGGAGACAAGGTGTTGACCACAATTGTTTGAATTGGTATGGATTAGTGTAAGGTTCTTGAGATTTAGTGGTAATTTTCTTGTACATAGATAGAGGACCGGGTAAAGGTTTACAATCGATCATGTCGACACGTTGAAGTATTTCTCTTGCATAATTTTCTTGGCTGAGGAAATAACCATAAGTAGTATGCTTGATATTGATGTTAATAAAGGTGATAACGGACTCCATAAATTTCATAAAGAATGTGTGTTTTAGTTCGTGCTTAAGTTGTTAAATTAAGTTGCAGTTGTTTCCGGTTATGAGAATGTCATCCACGTAAAATAATTGGTAGAGAATAAACTTTTCATGATCGTAGATATAAAGATATGTACTAACATCATTAACTCAGAAGCTAAATTTAATCAGATGAGTGGTGAACGTTCGGAACCATTACCTTCGTGTCTGCATCAGACCATATAATGATTTTTCAAGAGACATACGTGTGAGGGATATTAAGGATCAATGTGACTTTGTGCTTGATGCATGTAAAATATTTCAAGAAGAGTTCCTTGAAGAAAAGCATTGGAGACATTCATTTGTAGAGCTTCCCACTGATGATGGAGAGTGGTAATAAGTAGTAAGCGTATCGTAGGAATCTTTGAAACTGGGCTAAATGTGGTTGTGTAGTTTAATCCATATTATGGTTGACATACCAAGGCAACTAAGCGAGCTATGTATCTGTCAGCAGTCCCATCAGCTTTTCGTTTGATGCGATCGATCTATTTATTTTGAAGATCGGATTGGTTATTAGGATGAGGAACAAGTTTCCAAGTTTGTTGGTTTTGAAGAGCTTGGGGTTCATTGTTCATGGCTTGTTGTCACTGTGAAAGTTGAGATGCTTGCTTGTATGTAGTGGGTTGGGTTTGGGATTGATGGAGGTGTAGCAGATCAAAGATTTTCTTTTGTTGTGAGTTTCCTGTTTTGATCGGGTTAGCTTTGGATGGTGTGCTGGTGGCAGTTGCAGGGATGAAGGTTGATCAGTGGAGATGTTTTTAGTTATAGAGTTTGAAGATGGTTGGGTTGGAATGGGTAAATT